AAAGTGTCCATAAACAATTTGTAAGTCAAATGCAAGTGTTGTTAAGTACCTAGAATTCAATAATAATTTGCTGTTTGTTGGTTTTAGATGTGTAAAAAGTATTGTTTGAGCAAATGTTTGGTTTCTACAGGTTAATCCTGAAGTGAGCTGCGTGAAATTGATGTATGGGTGCATAAACAACTGTCTGGGTACACTTTTTTTGATTGTTTAATTGATTCTTAAAAGTCTGATTTGTTTAATTGATGAGGAAAAAAAAAGAATTATTAGCAATTTTGTCTTGTTTAATTGATTTGTAAAAATTGATTTGTAAAAGTTGATTTGTTTAATATTGATGTGTAAATAATTCTTATTTGTGGTTGTTTAATTGATTGAAATGTAAAAGTTGATTTGTTGATTTCAATCTGCATCATATTGAAGGCAAAAGACCTGTTGAAGGTACACTTTCGCAACGCTAAACTCAAAATCGCAATGCGAAAGCCAAAATCGCAACGCGAAAGTCAATTCGCGTTGCGATAGTCTAATACGCTTTGCGATTTTCTGGTTGCGATAGTCGAATACCCGTTGCGATAATCAAATTCACGTTGCGATAGTCAAATTCTTGTTGCGATAGTTAAATTCGCGTTGCGATAGTCAAATTCGCGTTGCGATTTTTTCGTTACGATAGTTAAATTCGCGTTGCGATTTTTGAGTTACGATAGTCAAATTCGCGTTGCGATATTCAAATGAATGTGTAATAAGTGATAACAACTGAACAGATCATAGCAATGTTCAAACTCAAGTTACTAATACATGCCTAACTGAAAATGTTAAAAGTTTACACATAAAATACACATAATACAACGTTTGCATTTAAAAATCACCTAAGTTAATAGTCCCAAAAGGTGAAGCCGGTTGTGATTGGTATTTTGATTTTGATTGCGATTTTGATTGCCTTTTTCTTGACACCATATGAGCTTTGGATTTTGATGAGGATCCATATTTGGGTAGAGGAAAAGATGATTGTGATGGCACTGGTGATCCACATGTCAACCTTGTATGACCACTTTCCTTGCACCGACTACATGTCGATTTCTTCTTCTCTTCACCCTTAGACGGTATACGATCGTGACTTTTTGGTCGGCCAGGTAGCCTTATGTCCATGGCTGGTTGCAAAACTGTTTGTAAGTCATCTGATATGTCCCACTCAGAAGGATGTGGAATAGGGTAGATAATCTCGGCATAATTTTGTCGATATACTTTTGTAGTGTAGCAATCCATAGCGTATGCGCTTGAATCATCTTGGTTTAGATGAAGAGTAACATGGCCACACGGATAACCAGATGTTTGCCATTTCATACAACTACACGTCTTTGCATTTAGATCGACAAGCCCACTTAAGTTATTATCCAGTACTTCAAACAAAGTGTTTGAACATGGTTCAACTCTCCATGACGTTGACTTCACAACACGTTTCGTTATCTTTTTTTTCAGTCCATGGTGTAACACGATGTTCCAATGTTCCTATAAATTTAAATAAATAATACTTAGTAAAATATATGATAAGTTACGAATTTAAAGAAATAATACCTGCATGGTTTCTTTTCTTGTAGTACCACTGTTGAATAGAGGCTCGAAAAAACTCCATTAATATAGTAATGGGTAATTTCCGGGAATGACGACTTAGAGTGTTGATTGATTCTACACTATTAGACGTCATGAAACCATATCTTGCTCCAAGTTGATGTACTCTTGACCATCTTTCAAACCCGACATCTTCTAGTGTTTGAGCACACTGAGGCAAAACACGTCTTAAACAATTTATATGCTTATTAAAATCTACTTCCCGATAAGCTTTTACAGCCTTCCAATATGTCCATTTGTGATTTTTTATACCAGCATACCTTGATTTTAGATTTCTATACAAATGAACACCACAAAGTCCATGAAAAGCATATGGGAAACACCTTCTAACAGCGTTGTCAATTGAGTTTTCCCTATCGGATATGATTGTTAGATTGCTAATAGGACCTATGCAATCCCTAAGATGCCCCATAAACCATGTCCATGAATCAGAGGTTTCAGATTTGCTAACCCCGTAAGCTATTGGCAGTATCCCATTGTTAGCATCCATGGCTACTGCTAATAAGTTTACTCCAAGGTATCAGCCTTTTAAATGTGCTCCGTCAACTATAATAACTGGGCGCATGCAATTAATAAACGAACGAATCTACAAAATCATATACACAAGAAATATAATCATCTAAATGTGAAATGCATGTAACTAACAAAAATGAGTCAACAAAATTATATTGATTTACTAACCGCAGCACCAATGGCGATAAACAGCAACTCAAAGCATCCATCTCTATCTGTTTTGATATGAGTTACCGACCCATGATTTTTCAGCTTTAAATTGTGACAATAAGCCAGCAGTTGGGCAAACGATGCTTCTGGCGACCCTCTCAACAATTCCAATGCATAACATTTGGCTCTCCAAGCTTGAGAATATGAGATACTAATCTTGAACCGAGCATTCATGTCAGTCATAATTTCATGTCCCCGATATACTCTGCCATTCAAAAACATTAACTCAGCCAGAAAACCACCCAACACCTTTTTGTTTGCCTGTCTATAGTGAGGAAAAACTTGGGTTTTTGAACATGTATGTTTATCAATAAAAGTCCTAACTTGAAACATTTCGCAATCTTTTATCCTCTTTGCAATCATACGCCACGTACAGTTTTTGTCAATCATACACCTTGTTTCGAAACGATCTTTGCTTGATTTGTTAACTTTTAGTTGATAGCCATCTTCCACACATTTCGTATACAAAGCTATCTTCAAGTCTTCCTTTCTATCAAAACAATCATCTTTCTTGATACGAATAATTTTTGTGTAACAATCAACTGCTATATTTACCAACTCTTCTTCCGGTATTTGAAGTAATTATGGCATATTCCAGTTATACTCCCGTGGCATTTTCTTCGGGGACTTTTCTTTGGGGATTTCTTTTTCTTCTTCAGGGTTATATGAATTACAGAATGGATGTTCAACATGTTCATTCACAGTCGTAACTTCCTCCTCATTATCATCAACAACATCTTCCTCGGCAGCGGCTGTTTCATCATCAAAATTCGGGTATTGACCAATATCAAAATCATTACACGCAAGGTCTGTTTCTTTTTCTGAAACATCATCAAAATCCGAGTATTGACCAAGATCAAAGTCCGGGTATTGACCAAGATCAAATTTCGAATACTGACTAGTACTCACAATTTTTTCTGTTGGCTCATCATCATCTAACTGGTCAATACGAAAACCGGAATTTGGTGCTGAAAGTTGATTGGGATTTGGATTAGGGAAATGTTGTGGGTTTTGAGATTGTGTTTAATATTGGAAATGTGGTGAAACAAAATTTGCTTGGTGATGAATTTGTGGTGGAACCATTAAATTTTGAGCACCATAAACTGGGGTTGAAAAACTTAGTTGATTACTACCCGCTACTGACCCAACTTCACTACTTCTAGGTTCAACAACATACAATGTAACATCATCTTGCGAAACACTAATGTAAGCAATGAATCGTTCAACATCTTCATTGTCAGTTAACAAATAAACTTTACATTTTCTCTGATAAGATAGCCTAAATCCACTTAAGGGCTCTAAATTTAATTTATTTGCAACACGTAACATTAGAGTTTCATAAGTTAACTTTTTTAATGACAGTTTTAGTTGAAGATTCATGAGTAAAGACATATATTGTAAAACACCATGAACATTCTCCCATGACCCTCCAAAACACAAATCTATCCAAACATGATCAACGTTAGATGATTTCATTATTGTAAATTAATTTACTAAACAAACGAGCTGCGAAACTAAAACCTGTTGCCGGATGGGGAAGGATGTCGTTGGATATAGGAACGGATGTCGCCGGAGAGAGTGATAGATGGAGATGAAATGAGTTGCTATTTAGGGATTTAGGTTATGAGTTGCTTCTGATGCGTAGTTATATACCCAAAACATTTGTATTGCGAAACTAAAACCTGTTGCGAATTTGAAATTCAGTGTTGCGACAGTCAGAATCGCGTTGCGATAGTCAGAATCTCGTTGCGATAATCAGAATCGCGTTGCGATAGTCAGAATCGCATTGCGATTTACATATTCGCATTGCGATTTCGAAAAATCGCAATGCAAATTTGAAAAATCGCAATGCGATAGTCAGAATCGCGTTGCGAATCTGGAAACTGATTTGCGATACCGAAGATTGCGCTGCGAATTATCGATCGCATTGCGAATTATCGATCGCATTGCGATTTAGTTGGTCATTTTGGCAAATCCATAAAAAATTAATTAAAATCGTATATTATAAGATATTTTTGATCACTCAGGTTATTTTCTCTAATTTTATATCTTGGAATTTTAAAATTTCTCAAATGATTATAAAATGAACATTAATCTTTATTAACTTACTATAAATGATTACTAAATTTATCAAACCACTATAAAATAATAGCTAAATTATTAAAATTTATTATTATTTTATAATGTAGAATCATAATTTTTTACCAGTTCCAAACATCAATAACTAAATGATCATTTGAACCTAAAATTTAACCAAGTATGTTGCCATTCCTCAAGCTTCACATAAAACCATATTCAAGTGCTTTTGTTATTATGATAAGGAGGAACAACAAATGCCAGTGATTGAAATAGTAAGTCACTGTTTCACCGTCGCTAACTCATCAAACAATGTCTTGTAGGGATTCTAGTTGATATATGGTATGGCCCTCTTTTCGGCAGATTCCATGATGAATGTTGCCCCTCCTGAATTTCAACATCTTCATCTTCCTAAAACCGATCCCTAAAAGACTATCATAATCCCTCGTATGCTGCGTGGATCAAATGAGAAGACATATGCATGGACAGCAAAACCACCAATCCCACTCATCTATCATAGTACCGTTGTATTAATGGCATAAAGACATTAGCATTTCCGCATACAAACATATGGAACAAGGTGAGAGCATGGAGAAGGGATTTATTAACTAAAAAGTGCAACCAATTAAGATACACCGTTTGCCCTGATTAAATCTCTTCAGTTATGGCAAATAAAACATTAGGCTTTTTCGTATCACCCTGGACAACCCTATGGACCAATCAAATTAAATAAAATGGAATCTAAAATACAACCTCAATTAGCAGACTGGTCTTTACCAATACTCAGATGGTTGTTGTCGTAGGCCTGAAACAACCGATATTGCACAATCCAACGGATCTAATCATCTCCCCAAAGCTGCAGCATTCAATCATGACAGCCAATAAAACCACTTTTTCATAAGACTCACTACATTATAACTCAAAACAAAGGTAAATAAATTGCGAGCATGAACTCAAACTAACCGATCAATACTGTTCCTTGCTTTCTCAGGTTGGTCAGAGCTGCCATTACATAATTTGTCAGGTCGATCCACACTCTTTCTTGATTTTTCTCTTCTCTCGGTGCTGGTTCTTGCTTTTTCTCTACGGTCAGTGCTTAACTTTGGCATTTCTCTTTGGTCAGTACTGGCCCTACTCTTTTCTCTCTGATCTGTGCTTAGTCTGGATGTCTCCCTGAAATCTGTGCTGTTACGAGGTTTCTCTGGTTGACCAGGAAGTGGGGCAGACCCATTTCTAAGATGAGATTTCTCGATGACTGAAATGAATTTTTTGAGATGCCTGATGTATTGTGGATATAGTTCCAAGTCGCAGTGATTCCCTCCTTTAACCCATAAAGGTTCATATTTCTCTTTACAAAGTTCCCAAAGCTGCTTACCATGGGAACAATCCACAACATCATCAGCCGTTCCCTGAAATACAACAAAAACAGGTGAATAATGATAGCATAACAAGCACATTTGAGGTAATGACACATTCCGGATTACACGTTCCAATAGCATTTGCGGCGACATACCACAATCATTTCAAGAATAAATGTCACTGACTGAGTAGATATCCGACAACTCCAACTCACAACCTTTTGGAGTTTCTAGTCACACTTATTAACAAGATATTTGAACACCCGAGGAAAATTATGTACATAAAAGAACTTGCCTAATTGTCTGATCACATTATTTACAAATCACAAACATCACAATCCATGTGTCCGGATGAACATCATTTTCAAATATTGGATAAAGCAATTGGAGTATCCTAGAGTCAAGCAAACGGTATATGAAAGCCCTCGAAAATGGTAAATTTTAAGGAATTCCTGAATATATTTATATGTAAAGCGTCAAAAACAGTAGGAAGCAGGAGGAATTGCAAAAGGTATTTTCCTATTATAGGCTCCAACTACACAGTTTACTTATAGAACTACATAATATGTCAAAATAAGAACAAAGAGGAATCGCAAAAAATATTTTACGAACTGCCAGTCTATTATAAGCTCCAAGTATACAGTTCACAACTTATAGACCAATGTAATATGTCGAAGTGAGAAAAAATAAGGGGGCAATCCAAAAAGTACTTTTTTTCCCTCGAACTGCTAGTCTAGTTTAGGCTCCAAGGGTTTAGTTTACAGATTATTCACCAATGTAAGATGTCAAAATGAAAGCAAACCTGTGAAAAAAAAGGCAAAAACAAAAAATGGGAGAGAAGCTCTTACATAAAAGATTCTAGAATCTTATCATTGGCAACAGGTCTCAGTTTCCATAAACACCAGAAACTTCTTCAAATTCCAGTGAAATTCAACAAAACTATTTACCATTCTCATTTTTTTTCCTTTTTCTTCCTCATGATCAGCGGAGCTTCCTATTTCACTCTCCAACTCAAGATACCTATTCCATTTTCCATTTTATCTATTAAACATCTGTGTTTCCTCAAATATCAATCAGGTTTGTTAAATTTTCATCAGATCTATTTAATTTAAAAAAATGTTGTAGAATGTATATTATGTGATGATTTCTAAATTTACAAGTCCATTATTCAAACAAGCAACTATCAACTACAGCATTTCAAGGATCTGTTCCTATTGCCCCATCCAAAAACACCATAACTACAGTGTCCGTACGGTCTGTTCCTAAATTTTGACAAGGCTTCAAAATTGTTGTAGCAATTGTTCTTTAGAATGGAAATGCATTATCAAGCACATAAAATATAGGGACTAGGAATATGCAAAGATACAAGGGAAAAATAAAGAAATAGTACAGATATTTTAGAAGGAAACATATGCGATGCAGCCAACCACTCTGTTTTTCTCTTTATTTCAATTTGAACAATGGATCACCGTAACTGATTGAACCCTTTCATAGTGCACAAACTATTACAAATGACCAACAACTAAGACAAGTAAATATTACAAATAAATCGAGGTAATACTCACATGGATTACCAGAACAGGACAGTTGACCAATGGTATCTTGTCAATATTCTGCATCATGAACAGGGAAAGAAACAACAAGAAAGTATACTTAAAACCAGGTAGGTAACAACGGATTAAGACATTAAGCTATATAATTGTGCGTTGAAAGTTGGCAGAACCTTATATATGTCAAACCAGTAAGTTCGCTTCACTGGATACATTACTCTCAGACCAGACAATATTGGGCTGTGAAGAACCACAGCCCTAAGTTTAGGCAACCGAGTTGTGAGATCTAGAGTAGGACCACTCCCAACTGATTGACCGTATAAGATAACATCTTCCTCCTTCACTCCATATTTCTCCCCAAGGCATCTATATACAGCTTCTATGTCGGCGTAGGTGTTCTGCTCAGTTGGCTGTCAAAAGAATAAATAAAAATGCTATATTATTAGGATTTTACTAATTTACAAAGTTCGGAACTAAGCCAAACCAAACAAGTTCAGTGATTTATATAAAACAATGCTGTCTTCGCTGAATAATCCAAGGAATTATGCTTTATTTGAGATCATTAACTTGAGAGTACGAATTTGAACTCGTTTTTTGTAATAAAAATTGTGTGATGTAAACATTATTATGTGTAAATAAGCAAAGATTTAGCTATACCAGACAGTATGCATAAGATAGTATGAGATTCACCTTTCCATTAACATATTCCTACTACTCAATTTATAGTTCTAAATCAAAACCTTAAAAACAGCTAAAATAACATAAATTCCTAAAAGTTCCCATTTTCTGACATCTAGAAAATCATAAAAGAAATCACCAAATAAAAATTGAAGACCTTCTTAATTACAATCCCTACAAAATGAAAGATTCAACCTGCAAAAACTTCTTCCTTCACCCACTCTTCCCCACCAACCAAACAAATCAGTATGTGTAATTAAAAAATAACAATCCATATGCACCCATACCTTCCCACTTGACTGCCCATACCCAGAATAATCATAACTGCAAAAAAAAGAGGAAACTTTGATTAAAAAAGAAAAGAGAAATTACCCATAAATTAAAAATCTCATATGGAGCGGTTTAAACTTACCTCAATAAGTTAACTCTGAGGTGTAAACTGAGTTCACTGAAAAGATCATACATTTGACCCAGATCAGCCGCATTCCCGTGTGAGTAAAGAACAGTCAACGCAGCTCCAGGGTTCTTCATATACACAGCCACCACCTCATTCCCTCTCTTAGTTCCCACCTTTAACACATCGACGTTCTCCCTTGCTAGCACCCCACTCATTACCAGCTTCCCTCCACTCTCCACCACCGTATACGACGGCGGATTAGGTGGGAAAAATGCAAACTTGGCCGCCATCGTTGATGTCACAACTCCCATTATTGAAAAGAACAAAAAACCAAAACCAGCTCTTTATTTTGAGTTGCGAAGCATGAACATTTTTGGGTGGAAACAAAAATAAGAAAAAGAAAACAGTATTGGGTTCTATCTGTTCCTTGTTGATGATAGAGAAAACGATGGATTTGTTTTTGAAAAAACGAAAACTTTCTTCAGTCAACCAAAAGGAGTAGAAAATATGGACAGGTTCCCTTTGCTGTTGAGCGAAACCGTGTTAGAACTTAGAGAGGAAGACAGATTAGGACGTTGGTGGGAGTGTCTGGGGGGAGAGAAAAACCGGAGAGTAATTATTTTTTAGGGTTTGAGTAAACTCCGGGGAGAAAACGGAAAGACAGCACGTGTGGTGTATGGGAAAGGATTAAAGAGGGAGGGGGACGGGCAGAACGATGGTGACCGATTAGGTGTCTGAGTGACACGTGTCCTCGTAACGACAATACAAAATAGTTGGGGACATCAGATCACCGTAGAGTTGCTTTGGAATTTTGTTTTGGTGAGAATTATGGATTTGTCTTGTTTTTTTTTTTTTAACTTTCCGAGTGTTGTACGATCGCATTGAATACCACGTAATTTATGAATTTCATTTATTCTTTTTAATTTATGAAATATTTAATGTATTATTGGTGTATAAATTTAATACATGAAAAATATTATTAATGATTTTTCTTTAAAAAAATTAAGGATTTCACTTTGTGTTGTATGTCAAGAAAATAATATTTTATTTTTAAAAAATAAAAAATATATTTTTAAAAAATAAAAAATATATTAGTAAAGGTTATTGTACATTGATCTTGTTTTGACACTGAATTTTAGCATCATACACTTAAGTAATAAAAGATCATACACTTAAGTAATAAAAGATAAATTTGATTTAATTTAAAAGATTAACTTGTAACACCCCATCCCATATCCGACCCGAATACGAATCCGATGTGTCACATTGACTTTTTAAATCATTTATTTTGACATAAAATAATTAAATAAAAATTCAGTTCGACATTTTCAATAAACCAAATAATTGCTATTATGTAAAATATATTGATTTACAAAACTTATCAGAGTGTTTCCAACACCAATCTTTTATCTTACATGCCAACTATATTTCATAAAATACATAAAATTCAAGATTTTTTTGATTTGAATTTCAGGAAGGAGATGCTGACCTGATGAGCTCATCTTCGATCCCTTTGTCCTCTTCTCGAAATCTACGTGTGAAACATTCACACGCTAAGTCGATGACTTAGTGAGGCATTAAATTATGAAAGAACTCTAACTATTTACACATGCATGAACATATCATCTTATAATGCCACATCAAAACCATATAACATTATATATATCATATACATATCACACATTATTTTAAATCTCTAACCTTAGTCCACTATCAATATTCTTATCATTTATATCTTATAATTATATCCTCTTATATCTATTCTTTTACTCAACATATTATTCAATTAACCAAACAATACAAACATTATCATATAAATCATATCAAATTATCTAATAAGAAATACATGCATGCATATAAATCATCATTAGTCACTTATCATTTAATCACATAACACATATACTTAACCTTCTTAATCATATACTATACCTATACCTCATCATGTCCTTGCTATAAAATTTATCATATCACAACATATATTTGTTATTATCTTTTAATTAGCCCATGTACATATGTGAGAACTATTGATATATGAGTCTCTAGAGGTTGTGCACTAATGCTGTCACCACAGCTCGTATAAATGCACCGAAGTGCCACGTAGAAATGCACCGAAGTGCCACGTAGAAATGCACCAAAGCGCCGCATAGAATTGCACCGAAGTGCCACGTAGAAATGCACCAAAGCGCCGCATAGAATTGCACCAAAGTGCCATATAAAATGTCCCTAAGGACCACATAGAAAACTCTTTAAGAATTATATACATATGCAAAGGATTAAGTATGTGTCTCAAAAGACATCACACATGTAACATCCCAAAACTAGAGCAAGTGACTAAAATGGAAGTTTTGAAAATTTGAAGTCTAATTTCGAAAGATCTGAAAGTTCAGACTTAATTAGGAATATTTTGAGGACTATTTGGTAAATATGTAAGGACGTAAGGGTAAATTGGTCTTTGCAAAGAAAGATTTTTATTATCTCTTTATAAAAGAGATAACCACGTGTAAATGGGAAATAAAATTCTGGAGAGATGGGGTTTAGTTTCTTCTTCTTTCTGTGTCTTCATGTATAAGGTGAGTTGGATTTAATTTGCTTGTTTCTTCAATCTTATGGTTTCTTTTGATTTTTGAGTGATAAGAAAGAGTAAGGGAAGAGTTATGGTGACCTAAAACTCCAAAATGAACAAGTTATAAGAGATTTAGAAAAAGGAGTTCTTAAGTGAATTATTGAAATAGAAGGAGTTAACAGAATTTGAAGTTAAATTTGACTTTTCAAAGAGTTAATTAAGAAGTTAGAGGTGATAGAATTGAATTAAGAACACATGGAAAATTTGATAAAATTCTTTGATTCAAGTATTGTGGTGAATTATGAGGGATAGTTAAGTGTTATAGTACTATAAGAAGGTTTACATATGTATAGATGAGTTTTAAGGCATAAGGAGGGGTTAATAAGTAGAATTTGAGGTCAAAGTAAGAATTTTCGGGCTCAAATGGAATTTCTAGGTTGTGTCCATTGATGCATATTCAATGTGCATCGATGCACTCTCAAATAAATGAACATAGAATGCAATTAGTGCATCGATGCATAAGGAGTGCATCGATGCACCCCCTTAAAAGGAAAACATCGAAGGTGATTTGTGTATCGATGCATGAGTAGTGCATCGATGCACATGTTAAGGGATGCATCGATACACTGTAGAATGTATCGATGCACTTCAATAGGAAATGGAATAAATCTTTCTTTTGGTTTAAGAAATGATATATTAGAATACATCAATTGGATACTGATATTGATCTGTGTATGATTATGTAGATACTGAACTCGAACAAGTTCCAGAACGATAATCAAATTAAGATTCGATCGAAAGAAAAGAAATCATAAAAGTGGATTGGAACTTAGTGAGGCCAAGGTGAGTGCATCTTATTGCATAGGATTATATGGAAATTGACTTGCGTTAAGTCTATTCCGATAGTATAGTACATGAAGTATGTGATTAATATGAAATGTATGTATGCTTGATAGTATAAGTGTATATGTGTTATGTGAATATAGGGTTATAAAATAAAGTATGTAATAATAAAATGTTATTTGAGTTACTTAACAATAAGTCATAAGATTACAGGCATAGGTAACATAAGTTATAAGATAAGAAAATATGTGTTTATATGTGTTTGCGGATATATATATATTGTTGAGTTAATCGATCGACGGAATCGGCCAAGAGGGGGTGAATTGGCAATTAAAATTTTGGTAGAAGCTTTTGCAGAAAATTGAAAGTAATTGCACAACGATTTAGAGTGATTTGACTTTCTCAATCAAATTCTACGTCCACTACCTTAGCTATCCATACTAAGGATTTTCCAACAAATTCACTAATTTGTTCTTTCTTTGAGGCCAAAGAGATAACCTTACAACTCCCTCAAGAATATACCCCAATTCTTGAGAATGCTATTTCTCAAAGAGAAGATTACAAATTTGCAAACTTTCAAGGAAATCCTCACAAGGTAGATTGTTTGCACAATTCTAGAACAAAAAAAAGAACACTAAAAAATGAATACAATTAAGTACAAGTAGTGTTCTTGAAAACAAAATGAATATTGAATGAAAAATAGGCTTGAAATGCTCAAACTTGAGGTTTGATGCTTTCTCTTTGTTTCTCTCTTGATTCTTATTGATTGTTGTTTCTTATTATTGATCAATAGCTTCTAAGCTTGTTTAAATATACCTTCAAATGATTCTGAACGTTGGGGATGCTTAGTGGAGTCAATAGAGCCGTTTAAGTGTGAAAACAATTAATTAAAGCAGTTGGGAGCATCAGTGCATCGATGCATACCCATGGTGCATCGGTGTAAAATTCAAATATTTTGACCGTTGTACCCTTAGTGTATCGGTGCACTAAGAGTGCATCGATGCATCAAGTGCATTCGATGTTTCAAAATAGCCAGAGTGCATCGATGCATGGCTGGTGCATCGATGCATCAAATGCATTCGATGTTTTCATAAAATCCTCAGTGCATCGTTGCATGGTATGTGCATCGATGCATGAAATGCATTCGATGTTCAATTTAATTCATGGTGCATCGATGCATGGATTGGTGCATCGGTGCATCACTTTGATAAATTGATTTTAGGCTTGATTTTGGTTCAAAATACTTTATGAAAATTGTTTCAAAAATAGTTTAAGTATAAAACACAATTTTACACATTTAGTAAGGTTTGAATTTGAACTTGAAAGACTTGGAGTAATAATTTGATATTCGATTAATTAAATCGAATATACTTAGAAAATCATTTGTAAAATCTTAAAATTCATTTAAACTTAATTTGTTATATCGAAACACAAAAATGTTTTCAACAATCTCCCCCTTTTTGATATAACAAAACATTTGTGTTATTTTAAGATTTTCTAAAATTTTGAAAGCAATTTTGAAAAATTACTCATCTTACTACAACACTTCTCCCCTTTAACACTTTTACACTTCTTCCCCTTTTTGTTAAACCATAAAGACATTAAAATGTTTTAAACAAAGTTTTAAAAAGCATAGCCAATTGATTTTAAATATATATATATAGCTTAAGCTGCTAAGATCACAATCAAAAGAGAGATTAGCCATTAGTTCCATAATCAATATTCATAAACAAATGTGAAATGTCATAATTGGTCATATATATCTAATGATGCAAAAATAAGAAAATTCAACCAAACCAAATATATAAAAATCCAATCATCTAAACCATAAAAAATTCAAGCATTTAACAATCCATAAATATAAAAAAAAATCCAAGTTTGAAATACTAAGAAAGCATGGAGAAAAGGTCTAATCCATCGGAGGGTCGGGAGGAGGAGGGTAATGAGCTCGAACTTCAAGAGTGAGCGTGTCCATACGTTCACGCATCTCTCGCTGAAACTCAGTAATCTGAGACTCCATGGAGGCAAACCTCAGATCAAACGACTCCAAGAAGGATCGAAAATATGGTGGCATTTGATCTTCTTGCCATGCTGGTTCCGGTGCAGGCTCATCGTCTGGAACGTGATCGTCGATATCTTGCATAAGTTGTTGAAACTCAGGATCATCGTCAGCAGCCGGTGCCGAAGGAAGAGGAGGAGCACGAGAAGAGCTAGGAGCAGCTCGTGAAGAGCTAGCTCCCGGAGTTTGCTTACCGGGTCGAAATACCCAAAGACCGGTTTCCTCGTCTTGTTTACAATCCGCTTTCTTCAAGGAAGTAAGATTGATTTGATTTTGGAGTGGGATAGGATTGTCAAGAGAG